CCTGGAAATGTTCGCAGCGGAGTGCGGCGTGACCGGCGTGCGTGTGAACGCATCTGAAACGAAAAGCCTAGTGCTTTCTCGTTCTCCTGCCCGTTCTCTCTTCAGATTAATGGAGAGGCAGTGGAGCAGGTGGAGAGGTTCAAATACCTCGGAACTATATTTACTAGTGATGGAAAGTTGGAGGAAGAGATCGACCGGCGATTTGGTGTAGCCAGCGGCGTTCTGCGTGAACTAGCGCGACCCATTGTGATTGAAGCAGAGCTCAGTCTGAAAACTGAGCTCTCGATATTCAAGTCGATCTTTATTCCCAGGTTTACCTACGGTCACAGATTGCGGAAAATGACTTAAAAGCTTCGGACCCGGGTAAAAGCTGCTGAAATTGGCTTTCTTAGACGAGTCGCTAGCCTTAAGCGTCTCAACATTGGACCTTAATACTGACATCCGGAAGATTCTTGGTGTACTGCCTTTGGTTCTTCAGACTGAGAAGTCACAGCTGCGATGGTTTGACCATGTGCTTCGCATGGGTCCAGAAGGGAAGGCTGAGCAACTCTTTCTTTCGAAATCGAGTGGCTGTAAGCCCATGGGACGCCTAAGATTAACCTGGTGCGAATATATGGAAGGAGTCTGTTACAGACTCCATTTGTCTTTTTCCGAAGCTCAGACTCTGGCACAGGTTCGGGAACGTTGGAAGCTCTGTCTGACGTGTCTGCTTGCGCGACCCGAAAGGAGCAGCGGCGATGGAAGAAGATGATGATAAAGAAACGTTGCCCATCGCAGCACAATTATGGGTGGTTGCCTGCACATATCTAAATATGTGGCACTGACGCAGTGTAATGTATACATTAATCCTTCAACAAAGCAAGGTCAGGAGCATAAACCTGTTGCTTTGCTAATCCATTACTAATATCTTTAAACAACAAACTCAGTGTTAAATGCATTTCCCTGTAATCCAAAGGCTGATCAACGGGTCTATGATTGCGAACCATCGAGTCGAGGAAGTATGGTATTCTCGCACAGTCATGTCAAAGCGTTCTTTGCTAATTATAAGTATCACATGCGATGGTCTTTCTATGTTAGAATTCAGTGGGTTTTGATTTATTTGAGAGCTGACCTTTTACTTAGCATATGCACGGTTAAGGTTATTGTGAAATGAAGAAATTTGGAATGTTTAATTTTCAATCATAATGAACTTAGGTAAATTTAATCGATGCTTCGCAAAATTGAATATGTGAAAAAATTATTCGGCACGTTTCTATACCTGTGGGTAAGCCATTTCTCACTCAATTAATGTTCACAGTTTTGCAGTCATTTATATACTGTGCGCATGTCCAAGAGCATATGGCATTTCCATTACTTTAGCGTGTTCCACGCCGGCAACAACGTCTGAGAATCTTCACAACATTCTGGCTCTGAACGTACGAACTGCTACGAAAGGCAAAAATAACTTCTGAAGCTAACCTTCCTCTCTATCTTTGACGAAGATCGTCGAGACAACCGAAACGTCGATACTAATCGATCATCCGATTGACTGAATTGTTTTAGTGGCTTATAAATAAAAAACTGCGCTGTGCTGTTTTTGGTATCATTATAGAGCCCTGTCCGTTTTGCGGTCTAATGGGACCGTTGGACCGCCTGCAGCAGCTACTCCCGTTTTCCGAATGGAATCGCTGGCTGTAACAATGAATGAATGAGTGAATGAATTCCTTCACACTTTGTCCTGAAACGCAATCCAATATTTTAATTGTTAGCTTCTCTCCAGGACATGGAAGTTGGGTTTAAAGAAGTCAGATGCTCAATTTATTTAAGTGATCAGCTGATAGTATAATTATGATAAATTGCTAAGAGACGGTCAAGTGACTATTATGTAGAATACTTAATTTCAGTAAGCAAATTTCTTTGTGCAGGGTTGTAATTTCAGTGGCTTCTTTAGCAGTTTATTGTATGATGCCCATTTTCAATACGGATCTCTTCGATGAGATACTTCAAGCGATAAATTTCTCTGCGCTCTTCTTGTCATGGCACGTCGTGAAATACGATGTGCCATTTTCATTAGCTGCTGCGATAACACTGTCCGGTGTCAGATGGACAGCATCAGAAATTACACATTAACACCGCAGACACCCTGAGAACGGCATAGCACTAAGAAATGATGAAGGCAGCTGCAGTGGTGACAACGGCAACAGTACGGGCGAAGACGATAAGGCAAGCCAGCGCACGAAGGCTGGGATGCAGACGCAAATAACGATTTGAATTAACGCATCAGTGTTGAAGGGGAACATTCGAGTCAGGAAAACTTCTGTTAACCCATTTTAGCTAAAAAGATTACCCCACAGTTCAAACGCAGCTTATCGTTGTATTGAGTTAGTAACAATCAAAGCAGTTATGACATGATCAGGTGAATATGACTCAGTTCATACTCCTGAATCAACGCGGTGTCTCTGAAGGAATGTCAAGAACTATGAAGCGGTCGACTAATTTCGGTGCTAGCAGAGTTTTACATTAGCCTGTGGTCAGGTGTTTTTGAAAAAAGGGATAATATAACTAAAAATTCGGACAAGGATTTGAGGTCGTAATCCGTAGGAATTCAGGTAGATGAAAAGGCATCAGTTCGTCATGCTGATTACCCTCTGAATTAAAATATCGACTCAAAGGCAAAGCGAAAGAATGATTCGAATACCATTAAATAAATAGTACTAGAAGAGATCCAATGAAAGTTCTGAATAGTCAAAACCTGGGAAACCCCACATTGCCGAAAATTTGACATGGGTATCGTCATGCTTCTCGAAGAAGGTTGAAATTTGTTACATGATGCAGAGAAACGTGGATAAAGGAGCGTCTTACCAACGTCACCGTAGGCATAAAGATATTTAAGCCGTTTAGCAAATAGTGAGTTATCAGATATTTTGCAACATTGAGCTTTTATCATGTGGAACAGCGTAAGAAAGGCATCTTTTATAACTTTATTATGTGTTAAAGTAATAGTATAGTTAGCAAACTAATATATCAAAGACCCCGTAATTTAGAAACTTTTGACTGTTCTTCCTTTCATACTTATTTCTCATTTCTCTTATTTATCTTCCACCATCCGAAGTTCCAGATCCCTAAGTTGTTACCTCAGAGTCGTGAAGATGACTTCCGGCGAAGATATACCAATTTAATGACCTACAAGCAATTAAGACTACTAGCATATGAAGATCTTCAGTTATTCCAGAATGTAATAATGATGTTTCAGAAGTGTATTTTCTCATGCTTTTGAAATTGACTTCATATATTAGCGTCTTGTCATGAAGGTGTTTCAGCTTGAATCCATGCTAGCAGCAGTCTTGATGAGAGCGAATCATAGAAAAATCCACGAAGGCGTGACTGGTAAAACTGTAACGGCTCCGATGGTATATTGGGTAGTAGAAAACACTTTCCCAGTTGTTCAT